ATACAATTAGTAACTCTCCTTCCCTCTGTCAGTCCCTCGCTCTCTCCTCACTTCCCTCCCCCTCTCTCCCACTCTCTTCACACAAAAGACCCGAATAAACAAAATCCGGAGACACGCCGTTCCTTCACCTCTGACCTTGCTTCGGGACTTTTATCACCTAAGATCTCGCAAAGGGGAAGGAGTAACAAAGTAAAGAGGGAGAGAGAGCTAAACGAAGATTTGCAGTTGCGTAATGCCGTGAGACAGCGTATGGGAAACCGGTTTTCTTCGTTAGCTCTTCCTCTTCCCTTCCCTCCCCCCCCTACCTTTCGAACCGGTATGCAGGGGGTATGGCCTTGTGGATTTTTTTTTCTTTTTTTGGGGGGTGGGAAGGGATGTCACTGCTATAGTGTAGTCCTTTAGGCTTTAAGCTCTTAAGAATGTAGTTATTGTGCACTTTTTTTCCAGGGAGTCTGACGGGTTTTAGTTTATGCTGTGCTAACGTTATTTGGTTGGGTATAACATACGGTATACTTAGGATGCAAGTGGTAAGGGTTATCATATACTTGTTAGGGTGTACTTGGTTACGTATTGTGCTTTGTAAAGTGTATATTTTAGTGTATAGTTGCTTGCAGTTATGAGGTACGGATTGTTAGAGTAATAACAACATTCCACTTAGAGTGTAGTTAAAGTATAATTGCTAAGTTATAATGCAATGAAGGTATAACTGTTAAAGTATACCTGAAATGTAATTTGCTTAAAATTACCGTTGCTTAATTAAAATAAAATTCGAATAATAATTATTAAACTGTAGTTAGGGTGCAGCTGTTAAAGCATGCGTGGAATATAGTTGCCAGACTGTTTCATCATTCAACCCTTGCGCTTTTTCATCACACTTGTCTACTTGAAGGGGGGAGGGGAAGGTGTCCGTTCATTCTTTAGTGCAGCCTTCATTATCAAGGTGTACTGGTCACCGAGTCGTTGAGAAAACCGATTCATAATCACTATCCATTGTGTAGCCATCGTCCAAGTCCTCGCTGTTGCTACGACGTAAACGAGATCCTAGCGTGTTTGAAATTAGTTACGTCTAAGTGAGAATAGCGGTCTCCAAGGTCTCTTCTTGGGATGTTTTCATTTCAGAAGAGGAAAAAAAAAAGAAGAAAGATTTACGTGTGTGAACATGGTCGTTTTAGCAGAGTGCGAGTACGTAGGAGCGAGTGTTGCATCGCCCATCCATCAGTTGCAAAAGGGGGATCCTCCCAGGCAAGGTTGCGAGGAGGCGGTGGAGGTCAAGGGGAAAGGAGAGAGGCGAATGAGGAAGGAAAGGGAAGGAAGGAGGAGGAGGTTTGGAGAAAGAACGAGTTTGAAACAGAAAGGCGATTGAAAGAAAGAGGGATAACGGGAAAGTGGTGAAAGAGTTGGGAAATCGGAAGAATATGAGGGAGCTGAGAAATCGAAAGAATATGAGGGAGCTGAGAAATCGAAAGAATATCCTGAAGGCCTTATGAAAGAGAGAAGGAAATGGGAAGAGAATGGAGATGAGTAGATTAGAAAGAAACTGCGGGAAAGGCGGAAGGAAGAACAGAGAGAAAGCAAATCGAGGAAACAGACAACACATTATTGGATGTATATAAATGAAGTTAAATGTTTTTGTAAGAAAATATATCTAAAAATGTAGATAATGAGCGAGAACATAATAAACAACTTGACCTCCAGCTGTAAACAAGGCAGAGCCAGACTCACTGACCCTTGAACTCGTACGAAAGGTCAAAAGGTCACGTGGCTCATCCCCTTCAGCGACCCTGCTTGGGACCCGAAGCGAATAAAATGTGTGTGTGGGGGGGAGGGGGAAGGTCGGCGAAAGGGGGTATGAAATACAGGTTATATTGGGTCACTGCTAACAGGTCAGGGAAAGGGGTATGAAATAACAGGTCACACTGGGTCACAGCGAGAAACGCCTTTGTGTAAAAGAAAGACTTCAGTAACGCATACGCGGCATATATCACAGGATCGCAGCTTAAGAATTGAATGCTGTGGCTTTTCTGTGATGTCTTTATGTGTTTTATAGTGAATGGGGACGAAGGCAGGAGAGAGAGGGACGAGAGATGGGTAGCAAACATAATTTTTTAAAAATCTAGCAAAGACAACACGGTATACCAAATACATAACCATAGTCGTAATACAACGCATGCAACACACACACACACACACACACACACACACACACACACACACACACACACGCACACACACACACACACACACACACACACACACACACACACACACACCCGCATATGTATGTGTGCCCGTGCGTGACAAATGTGGATGTGCATATTTTCATATGTGTGTGTGCGTGAGAGTGCGAATTTATATACAATGAGTGATGAATGCTTGACGTAAAGATGAGAAAGCTTTATCCCGTCCCATTACTCACGGGACATTCATTCGACAGACACGCCGGTCCCTCCCGAGTAAGAAAGTGATTGTGTGAGAGAGATTAGAGGGAGACGGGGGGGATGGGGGGTTAGGGGTGGAAGGGGAAAAGTGGGGGTGTTAGAGTCGGTGCTGAGGGAGGAGAGGGGGAAGGGAGGGGGACACCAAAGGACGCACTAATGTAGGAGTTAATGCATCTGGTCGCCTTAGACTGATTGTTGTGCAGAATCTTCAGTAATGATGGCCACTTTGTGATCTTTATTTGTGTTTATTCTGTGTGAGTGTGATTGTGTGTGTTTGTTTGTTTGTGTGTGTGTGTGTGTGTGTGAGTATGAGTGTGAGTGTGAGTGTGAGTGCGAGTGTGAGTGTGTATGTGTGCGTGCGTTCTTGTGCGGCTGTGCGCGCGTCAAAACCATCACCATAAACATTTTCCGCATCACTGGAATCATCACAAGAGCATTAGCGACACCACAGTGGCAATGGACCCGCGAACCATAAAGAGGCAAAGTGATACATGGCGTAACTCTTTTACCAATGGAATCGTAACTTCCCTCCGGTGCAATAAACCGTCATTTGTCGGCCTTAAAATAAAAAGAGTTCACTTTCTATAAGAGAGTTATAGAGGGAAAGAAGAGAGAAATGAAATCATATTGTTTATAATTTTTGGGTCTACGTTACCGTCCGTTGTTGCCTGTTTATGTTAAATTATCGATATATCCTCTCACTTTAATTTATGTTTCTTACTCCCTCCCTCCCTCTCTCTCTCTCTCTCTCTCTCTCTCTCTCTCTCTCTCTCTCTCTCTCTCTCTCTCTCTCTCTCTCTCTCTCTCTCTCTCTCTCTCTCTCTCTCTCTTACAAAGACCATTACTTCTCTCCTCTCTGTGTATTCATACTCAAGATTGAATATTACCATAAAACATAAAGTAATTACAAATAGCATATATGGGATAATTGCAACATTTAATCTTAACAAAAACAAATACAAAGAAAACAAAAAAAACAAGAAACACTGCGGGAAAATTCACACGAACCAGAGACCTAAATTAACTTGCGACATGGCCATATTAGGTGTGACGTCATAAAGGAGCTGTGACATCATGTTGATGCTGCAACGGCCGTCTTCTTTGCTTATGTTTGTTTTTTTTATCTATCTATCTTTCTACCTCTATATATAAACGCAAGATAAGTGCTTAGAACATTTATTTCTATTAGTGAATGTCGTGATTTCATCAAGGGAGGTAACCACGCAGCAACCACCACAACCACGCAAACAAACAAACGCACAAACTCATACATGGCCAAACCTAAAAAACACAAATATTTAAGCCAAAAAAAGGCAATTTAAAAGTAACAGATATAAACACCAAGATGATGTAATTACACAATTACCTTCCCCTTTTTTGTGTCTTTGTTTTTATCACGCGTAACTGACCATGCATTCTTGCGTGATCGTGCGATGTTGCATTAAAGTTTTCATGGCTGTTTTCTTTTTCGTTATCTTCTTTTTTTTTCTAAATACTGCATTACTGATTATATCTATTACTTTGTTATCATTATCAATGTTTTCAGCACAAGCAATGGTGCCATAATCATAATTATCATTGCTGTTATTATTCTTATCGATGTCATTATCATTACCATAATTATTCTCATCATTGCTATCCATATTGCCATTACCATTACAGTCATCACTGTCATTAATATCATTATCATTATTGGCTCCAGCATCACCTTTTTTTTCTTTTTTATCAAGTCAGTTCCACTTCGATTTTCCTTAACTTCATTATTCACTTTACTTTTTTTTTCCTCTCTTTGGAAAATATAAATAAAGATGGAGAACTGAGTAAATTAAAGTGTAAAATAGAAATGGATACATGAAAGCAATTAAAGATGAAAACATGGGTAAATGAAAATGACAAGGGGAGGGAAAAAGAAAAATATGATTGTAAAAGCGGTTAAAAAGAAAAATCGGAAAAGAAATATGGAAAAAAATAAAGAGAAGAGGAGAGAAAAAAGGAATAAATAAGAAAGGCTATAAACGAAAAGGGAAAAGAGAAAACGCCGAAAGAACAAAGAAAAATGAAATAATAAACAAGAAACAAGACAAACAGAAGAAAAAAAGAAACAGCGAAATCGAGAGGCGGAGACTTTAACACAGACGTAAATAGTGAGCCAAGATTTTGCAAACAAAGTCCATCCTCGCGAAAAAAAATTATATATAATAATTTCGTTAGTGTTTTCGAGTAATTTTCCAGTAACAATTTAAAAAGAAATGGAGACAAAGCATGAGAAGAAAGCAGCAATAAAATAGCAGCACTTGTAAAGAAATAATCATAATAAAAATATTAACCATCCACTTACGAGAGAAAAAAAAAGTCCACGATTTTTTCTTCACCAACAATACTCAGAATGAAAAAATAACAATAACAAATAAAAAAAATCCAAGAAATTCTTCCCAACCGAAATTACTCATAAAATAAATAAATAAATAATCATCAAAATAGAAAAAAAAAAATAACACAATACAATAAACAATAAAAAGAAACAAGAGAAAGACACCAGGCCACAGATCTTCTCACACTAACCTCTTCATCGGAGACTCTGACGCACACGTGGAACATCTGACAGCCTGCCTCCGGATCGGCGTAGTAACCGCCCGTCGCCTTGTCGCTGCAGGTGAAGTTAGTCTCGGGCAGCAAGTCGTGCGAATAGTTAGGCGGAGGCTCCTGCCCGCCAACCAGCAGGAACAGCAGGAGGAGCAGCAGTAGGCGCGGCTGCAGCAGGAACATGTGGGAGGAAGGGAGGCTGCCTAGGCCTGTAGGGTGGACGGGGGAAAAAAGAATTGGTCTCCTTTTCTTTTTTTATAGGATTATTTTTTTTCTGGGTTTATAGATTTGATGGTTAATAACTTGATTTAAACTGAAGCTCCTTTACGTCGAAGCCTAAATATCGAAGCCTTCTCTAAAGTGTATAAGCGGCACAAGGTGACGTTAAGCTCCGGAAGAATAGACAACATAGCCTTTCGTGGAAGGGATTTAAACCTCTTACGAAACGATGTACTTTCGTCGCTTCGTAAACGAGGTATAACAAGGTAGGCCTGAGAAGTGGTAAAAGAAGCTATTATCGTCATTATCGTAGGTGAATCAGCAGAAATAAATCGAAGAAAAGGATGCTCTCTCCACTTACCGAGTGGCTGCACACAGGAATCCATCTTGCGACGCTCTTTTGT